AGAAGAAGAAGAAGAAGAAGAAGAAGAAGAAGAAGAAGAAGAAGAAGAAGAAGAAGAAGAAGAAGAAGAAGAAGAAGAAAATGAAAGAAGAAGGTGATGATTTTAAGAATTGCACATACTAGTCTGGAGAAAACCTACAGAGGTTAGTCTCCCTCAGAGAATCTTATAATGTCTAGATGCTGTCACTTCAGTAACGCGTTGGTTGTAATCAAGTCGACCACCACATACATATCTTTGCTGAAAACATGGCTAATTCCAGCCTGATGCCGGCAGAGAATTAATACACCAACAAAACCAAAAGAAGCCGTAACAGCATTGCCTGGAATGACCAGACAACATCACATTTCTGAAACATTCTCGGGAGAAGGCAGAATCAAAGGTCTTTGAGCAGATTTTTAGTGAAAGTCGAGCCCGACGATCCTTAACCAGAACCAGGTAGCCAAAAGAGACAGAAAAAAGGAAGAGGAATATGTTGTTTCTGTTTGTTGTGATTTTTACTTGCAGACCTCCATGGATCTTCTTCTTCTTCACTTCCTCTTTTACCGCTGTGGGTGTCGAGGGAGATATAAGGTTCTGTTTCTAGCTCTTCTGGCTGCCTCGACCATAGGCACATCGTGCTGTTGTAGAGTTTCTCTGATGTTATCCTTCCATCTTGTTCTTGGTCTACCCCGTGCTCTACGTCCTTCTTCTCTTGCCATGTATGCTTTGTATGGTATGGTGTAACAAGGCATTCTCTCTAAGTGGGCAAACCATTTCAATTGCTGTCTTTGTATGTAATCCAGAATTGGTTCTGTGCCGACTTGTTCTCTTATGATCTCATTCCTGATCTTATCTCTTATCGTCACTCCTACAGCCCTTCTCAGACATCTCATTTCCGTGGTTACTAATTTTCTTTTATGGTTTGTTGTGAGTGACCATGTCTGGCACTGGTAATACAGAGTTGGAATAAATATGCTTTGAATAAGATGTCTCTTTGTGCTGATTGGGATTGTCTTATGCTGTAAGAGGGGGGATAACTGTCCCAATACTTGGTTTGCTTTACTGCATCTAATGTCCATTTCTTTATCCAATTTCCCATTTTCGGTAAATGTAGTTCCCAGATATTTAAACTCAGATGCCTGTTTAATGCCTTTGTATTCTATTGCTATGTTTAGATCTGTCTTCTTTTTTCCTATTGACATTACTTCTGTCTTTCCAGTGTTGATTCTCATATTATTTGTTTTACATTCTTCATTCATGGATGTTAGATGTTGTTGCAATTTCATGGCTGTATCTGCTATCAAGGCCTGGTCATCTGCAAAGAGTAATTCGTTGACTGTACTAAGATCTTCATTCATGGGCTTGGCATTCTTGCATATACTGTAGGTGATAAACAGCAGTGGTGATAAGACACACCCCTGTCTTACTTCAGATGTCACCTCCATGGAAAGCCCTGGAAATATCGCCCTAGCTCAACTACTGGCGCTCTACAAGCCAACATGTCCACTCCCTCACGAAGTCTGCTGGAAGGCTACACATCTGTACTCCCAAGTCTGATGATCACGCACTGAGCCCTGAAAGTTTGTGTCTACTGCAGTAGTATGATTGGGAAAATGTCCCTCTGACCGGCTGGCGAAGCACCGTTTCCATTGGGAGGTTTTCACATTTGGGAGTTTGGCAATACAGAATATAATCAAATCATGAATCAGCATAGTACAGCACAGACTGAGCTGCACTGGATCTAGTCGGAATGTTTCCTTTCCGGCTTTTAAACATTTGTAGTCAACTAACTCGGCGAATTCCAAGACGTGCATTCATTTTTAATTTGGTCTTTTGCTCATATTTCACAAATATTTCTCTGATATCTTTGTCGCAGGGATGTGACAACAAACTAAAGATCCCTCATTAATTTACTCTGTGCCACAGAGGTCCAGGTGACAGACTTGAATTGAGTTGAGTTGAACCAGGAACTGACATCACAGCACTCAGGGCATTCTCCTATCAGCTCCGTCCCCACCTTCAAGAGCCAGCGCAGATTTCCTATACTAATGTTACCAATTCTAGTGTGGTTATATGACCGTCTAGTCTTTCCTCTGAGTACAGTGAGACGACCAGGCTCTATGTCACATTTAGATGCCTCAGTCTCTTCAGACCATAATAATATAATGTCCCTTCTGACTTTGTTACTTGTTTCCAACGGGCATTGACCACATCTACCTTGTTATGTATCTATTCACCACCCAAAGGTGTAGATCCAACCAATCTATCTGCCTGTTCATTCCCCACCACGCATAGCCTGAAAAAAAAAATCCAAAGTATGCTCACTACTCTAGATCTTCCAAGTAAAGCTTGCAACTTTGATCGACGCAACCTTTTTTTAAGCATGCTTTCAGAGTCTGTTACAAGGTCTGCGTGACACTGTGGCTCTAATATATACTTATTTAATTTATGTTACCAAGTTGTACATATCTTTACGAGTGTAAAACTGACAGCACAAGATAAACAGGAAGTAACAAAGGAGCGAAACTCTGGCAACTTTTGTTCTGCTTTAATATTGATTGAGTCACTTCCCTTTACCGAGCAGAAAGATGTAAACTATAACATGGTCAGAGTCTTAGTCTATGTATCTGCTCGTACAGTAACCGAGTTACTGGCGCCACTACCACCATCAGTACCACCATCATCAATCAGTTGTCTCTGTGGCGAAGTTAGACAGGGATACTGCGTCAGCAGTCGTTGCTGTCTAAAGTCCTTTTCATATTTGTTGTCTATATTTTGGTTTTAATGTCTATTTCTTGTTCTTTGCGCTCACCGGATGTAAACTCCGATAAACAGTTCAGGTTGTCAGTTCATCTCAGGAATTTAGTCCCGGAACCTGAGTATTGTGTGCACATCCGTTTTACGGATGCATACTGTTGGTTCCTCAGATGCACTCCAACTTCAAAGAAAAACTCCAACTAGCCGTTTGCATAAGTGTCTAGAAAACAGCGAACCCCCGCCCCAGTACGACACTCAAAGAAAGTTACATACAGTGGTTCCTCGATATACGTTGGCTTTAGTATGTATTCAACTCGGTCTTTCTGTCTTGTTTAGAGGCGTCAACATTTGCTTAGTTTACCACTTTTGTTTGGAATACGACCTTGTGTGATTCAAAATTAGTCATGACACCGTGTGCGATCTTTGTTTAACTCTCTCGAGACAAAGCCTAGATTATATGACAATGACTTTAAAGGGAAATAACACTCACACACACACACACACACACACACACACACACACACACACACACACACACACACACACACACACACACACACACACACACACACACACACACACACACACACACACACACACACACACACACACACACACACACACACACACACACACACACACACACACACACACACACACACACACACACACACACACACACACACACACACACACACACACACACACACACACACACACACACACACACACACACACACACACACACACACACACACACACACACACACACACACACACACACACACACACACACACACACACACACACACACACACACACACACACACACACACACACACACACACACACACACACACACACACACACACACACACACACACACACACACACACACACACACACACACACACACACACACACACACACACACACACACACACACACACACACACACACACACACACACACACACACACACACACACACACACACACACACACACACACACAAAGCCGAAACAGCATTGCCTGGAATGACCAGACAACGTCACATTTCTGAAACATCCTTGGGAGAAGGCAGAATCAAAGCTCTTCAAGCAGATGCTTAGTGAAATTCGAACCCGATGATCCTCAACCAGGTCCAAGCAGCCAAAAGAGACAGAAAAAGAAAGCGAAAAAAAAAAAGGAAATAGAGAGAAAAAAAATACAGGCCAGAATTTCAGATTTCTGAAGTTTTGCTGGGGTCTCTAGCATGGCGTGCGCCTCGAGTGCTGGAGATCCCGGGTTCAGGTCCCGGTGAAGGCTGGGATTTTTTAAACGTGGACTTCTAGTAATTTCCCCTGGTCTTTGCGCAAAAAGATCGGACGCCCGTGTGTACTGTTGCGCACGTAAAACATCCATTGGCAATTGAAAATCGAAAAGAGTAGCCTAACGGCGCTGCCCAGACAAAATTTGGAGTTAAAAATCTATAAAATAGTTCAGGATCTTCGCTGGTGCTACGGAGTTTGTGCACTGTTTATCATCTAAACAGTATCCATACATAATCAACCAGTACCATTCCTTTCCGGGAAGGCTAACTCAGTCAACAAATGACCGCAGAAGTCGGATGTGTTGGACGCAAGGTGCAAATATCGCAGCCATGCTGTAAACGGACACAAAGCAATTACATCTTCGGATGAACGCAGAAGAAGAAGAAGAAATAATAATTTGATATTTTTAAATGTGGGAATGGATTAGGCACTCTCCATTGTATTTTTGATGGAAAACTTTGTTGTGTCACCGCCAATCCAGTCGGCCTTTTTATAGCTAAAGATGGCCGTGGTTGTGTATACGTACATGGAAAAGTAAAGGACCCATTTTTCCACAACTTCAGGCGTAGGCCTAGAACTATATTTTTATAAATCAATCGGCACTCTGAGGGTGGTGCGGTCAACATCACGCTGGCCGCCTTTACTTCCCAGGACTGCACCTGGTACCAATTTAAAGTTGGGTCGACCTGGGATCCAGGGTCATTTTTGTGAAAAGTCCAGCTTTGGTATACGTACTGTTTACTTTATGTCCAGGGATTATGAACGGATTAAATACGTATATCGAGGAACCCAAATGGTTCTTGGCAGAAGGAAAAGGTTCCTGATTTGTTCCCGGACACACTGGTTGTACACACACGAGATTTAACCCCTTCAGTCAATCCTCTATTGTAGTATCACTCTTATCTGTTGTACTAATGACTTACAACGAACACATGTGTCAGTATTCACTTACCATCATCTTTGAATTGGTTATATCCCGCCCGAGCGGTTACCGAATTTCCCATGGCCTCGTTGAACACCGCGAGGTCAGATCTGAACCCCAACACACACAAGTGACTGCCAGCAAATAAACATTGTGACCCAGATAAGCACCCCTGTCTACACACCGATTCATCCTGCCTCCCTGTCTGTTAGTTAACAGCGTGTCCGTGTACGTAGATCCTGGCTTGTTCTACAGTCGCGGCCCTGTATTGAGCCAGTCATAAAACATGTGTTACAGTAGGTTGATCTGGCTTGTTTTTGAGAGGCGACACCTGTTTGCAGACTGGATAAGCTGGACTGCTTTATAACTAATCCGGAAATAATTATTAAATTGCTCATATGGACCATATCAAAGTTTCACGTTTACTTCCTTTAGGTTATGGCTGACCGGGGAATCCCTTGCTGATGCCCTAATGAAAACTTGTTGAGAGAGTGAACGGGCTATCTGGGATCTGCCAAATGAGATTGCCATTCAGAGTGAGATTCTTTAGTCTCATGGTGGTGTGGTAAATCTGTAGGTGGCAGCCCACAGGGGAAAAACGATCGATCGATCATAGGATGTTAGCGCTTTTAACGGTCTCAGAAAATATAAAACTAGCCCTAAACCCAACCCCAATCCCCCTAATCCCCCCCTCCCGAATTCTTCAGAATAAGTCCCACGAGAGAGTGCAGCCTAAGTCCCACGAGAGAGTGCAGCCTAAGTCCCACGAGAGAGTGCAGCCTGTCCCACGAGAGAGTGCAGCCTAAGTCCCACGAGAGAGTGCAGCCTGTCCTAGGAGAGAGTGCAGCCTAAGTCCCACGAGAGAGTGCAGCCTAAGTCCTACGAGAGAGTGCAGCCTGTCCCACGAGAAAGTGCAGCCTGTCCCACGCGAGAGTGCAGCCTGTCCCATGAGAGAGCGCAGCCTAAGTCCCACGAGAGAGTGCAGCCTAAGTCTCAAAAAAGAGTGCAGCCTAAGTCCCACGAGAGAGTGCAGCCTAAGTTCCACGAGAGAGTGCAGCCTGTCCGACGAGAGAGTGCAGCAGACGTCCCACAACAGAGTGCAGCGTACGTCCCACAAGAGAGTGCAGCGTACGTCCCACAAGAGAGTGCAGTGTACGTCCCACAAGAGAGTGCAGCGTACAGTCACGAGAGAGTGCAGCGTACGTCCCACAAGAGAGTTCAGTGTACGTCCCACGAGAGAGTGCAGTGTACGTCTCACGAGAGAGTGCAGTGTACGTCTCACGAGAGAGTGCAGTGTACGTCTCACGAGAGAGTGCAGTGTACGTCTCACGAGAGAGTGCAGTGTACGTCTCACGAGAGAGTGCAGTGTACGTCCCAAGAGAGAGTGCAGCCTAAGTCTCACTAACCCTTTCGCTGCTACGTTCCCGGAAATAGTTGTCCTCCTTGTGCTAAGCAATGTGAAAAAAAAAGTCTCTGCTGTGCGCAATACTTTTCTATCCTCTAAACGCAAAAGATGCGTCCGCGGTGAGGGCTATGTTTTGTACACCTAAAAAATTTTACCCTGGGGAGTTGTGTGGTTGGTCAGAGTGGTGACAAGTCAGAGGCACGATGGTGCCCCACAAACTTAACTAACGGAGCTATCACCCTTCGGGGGGGGGGGGGGGGGGGGTTAATGGGAGGAACTGTTCCCAGTCCGTATCCCAAAATTTGATTGACGAACCTACCACGGCTGCCACTTTAATCATATTTACTTATAGTCACCATGTTATTACATACCAAAATAATATTAAAAAAAATAATAATATACTCAAGTCGTCCGTTGCTGAAAAGTAGCAGGAACTCAAAGGAAAATTTACAATTAATAAAAAAAAAAAAAAAAAAAAAAAACTTCGGGGGTTGAACACACGACCCTCCGATTCTAAGGCGAACGTGATACAAATTTCACTATGCAACCGCTTGACGCAATCGCTGTGTAAATGATCATAATGAATGATGTACGCAGACTATCAATAATGTGTCTAAGTTTGTAGTCTATCGCCGCCTGCATGAGCACTGTTGTCTAAGAAATGTTTCGAGATTCTCAAAAATAGTAAAAATATGTCCCTCGACATTATTTTACGGGAGTTTTTAGCAAACAGTCTTTGCTCAAGTACTCTATTTTAAGTTTCTTTGTTCTAAGCATTAGCAGACAGACAGAAAAAAAAAATTAGTTCGTCCGAATCTGTGTCTGTCCATCGGGAAAGACGAGAAATTTTAGTGACTCAACTGTTTGAATTTACAGTAGCAGAAATACAGATAGAGCTTGAGTCATCAAAATCATGCACTACTGGTTTCAAATCATCGGTTCATCAAGATAACTGATCAATTTATTGCCGTTTTGGTGGCGCTTCATTGTCGCTGCTCTCTGATTCCGACGATGAGGACGTCGGACAGGCAAACAGCTTTTTTTGGACACGCCGGTTTCAGCAGTCGATACTGATGGCCTAGTCAAATCTTCTTGTTCACTGTCAGAAGTACACATTTCAAAGTCATCGTCGCTATCACTTTTGACAGAAACTCCATCAATTCTTCATCAACTTTAACAAGTTTTCTTGCCATTTTGTACTAAGTGTAAAATAATCCAAAAGTACAAAATATCAGGGCACAAAATACACAGATCACCGACCACGCTGTCACGGTAAACAAAGCAACGGGATAACGCAAAATGCAGTAAACACACCTTAAACACGCCTAAAAGTACGTGCCAGTGCTTTTAATCATATGTAAATGGGTCAGTTTTATCTAAATATAGCTAATGTATATTGCCCTTCAGCCAATAAAATACGGGGTAACAGAAATCTGTCAGAAAAGTCCAAAAACGGCTTAGGACGTCCATAGCACTGGGGGTCAAGAAAAAAAAAATAACGTCCAAAGACGGGCGTAGCAGCGTACCGGAAATGGGGAAAAGACGTCCATAGCAGCGAAAGGGCTAGAGACTGCAGCGTACGTCCCACGAATGCATGGAGCCTACAACATACACTGCACACTGTCGTGCGACCTATCCTGCATGCAGTTGTGGGATGTAGACTGAAGCTGTGGGATTGGGGGTTGTGTTTAGAGCCAATTCTACATGTTCTGGGGCTTTAAAAGCGCTCACATCTTGGAACATAGAACACGCGATATCACTGGCTGCTGACAACAACGAGTAAAATACTACGTGTTCCTGGCCACTAACTAAGCGTGACACCTCCGCAACATAGGACAAGCCTTGGGACACGACGAGACTTGAATGGGAAGGACAGTCACTTCTTTTTGGGGTGGAAAACGATACTATGATCGGATTGTTTGAGCTCATTGTTCAGTCTGATCCATTCCTGGCAGGCCACATTTCGAAATATAGAAATTCTGGTAAAGGATCTAACCTGTCCAAAGTACGTGCCTGGAACTCATTCGACCAATGGCATAAAATGTCCCTGAGCTCATTGTTGACGAAGTAAAATCTTCTGTTTATGTAAGCTTGTCAGTTTATTTAACACCAGATCTCTCACATATCGATCAGTTAAGTGTTGTTGTACTTAGGTATTTGAAAGATGTGCAGCCTATTAAAAGCTTTCTAGCCTTTCTGGAATTGAAAAGGTATACAGTTGGCTACTAGGCGATGTTTTTCCAAGTAACGGCGGATAACTTGAAAATAGACTACAGTATACAACACGCACCAGTTAATTAAGATGATGACACGATGAGCATCAGGCACCCGCATCCATCCAAGGCAATGCTGCTTTAATTGTATCTGTTTATTCTTCAATATTCTGTCAGATAGACAATCTCTCCTTTAACTTTGTCCTCATCACTTTTGTCTTATCTTTTGTTCCATGTATGTTAAACTCTTCCTGTTTTTACCCCCGGGGAGGGGGGGGGGTGTGGAGAGGCGCTCCTTTCCCCACATCCCTTAATACAATGACGGCTTGTAGTATTTCATTTCCTATAAAAACAATTATTTATCTCTAATAGAGATTCACAGCGGTATGCATGGTACAAATGGAACGACACCTCCATCAAGAGGCAGATATAATTTATATTAACAAGAGTCAACGGAAGAAGAAGAGTTCTTGATGCAAGAGCAAAACCTAATGGTCTATGTGACACCGACCATAAAATAGTTGTGATGACAGCAAAATATCTCGTCTTCAAAAAACGCAGAAAGAAATTAACTAAAAACTATGATCTCATCAGAATAGCAAATCTGAAACAAGAAGGAGTAAAGAACGGTTCAAAAGAAAGTAGAGACAGCATTCAAACAACTATCGTCTGTGATGGAGAATATTGAGGACGAATGAAGTGTACATAAAAACCACCTTGCTTAGTTTTGCTGAAGAATTATGAGGACGAATGAAGTGTACATAAAAACCACCTGGCTTAGTATTGCTGAAGAATTATGAGGACGAATGAAGTGTACATAAAAACCACCTGGCTTAGTATTGCTGAAGAATTATGTGGACGAATGAAGTGTACATAAAAACCACCTGGCTTAGTATTGCTGAAGAATTATGTGGAACAAGAAAGAGATGAAACACATATTCGCCTTGCTGTGAAGAGTTAGAAGAAGCAGTTAAGAAAAAAAAAAAAAAGACTTACATAAATAGGAAAAGTCGGGAGATGTGATCCAGCGTGATTGCACACGGTTATAAACCATACGTGCTCTGCCACCAGTACGGACAGCTGATAAGAAACTGTCCGCCTCTGTCGCCGTCTGCACGAAACTCCGTAGCTACAGCGACGTCCCTCCATTTACCCCCAGAGTGTTAACTCTGGTACCCATTTTCTAGAGGCTGGGTGAGCCCCGGGAACTGCCCGGTTTCGAACACCAGCCATGGGCTGCAGTGGGTATTGCAGCTGGATTTGAAAGCGAGTCTCATATCGACTGCGATAACACGGCCCCCTAGAGACAGTGGATACAATCGAAGAGAGAAGGTGATTATGTAAACTACAGACTGCAACGAAGAGACACCAACCAAAGGATCAAGAAAGCAAAACAAGAATCCTGGGAACGTTTCAGAGAGTCATTAACAGAAAGCGAGAAAACTGCCAGCAGAATATTTTTTA